GAGAATCGAAGAAAAGAAGGGAAGTTTAGCGATAGTAAAGAAGTAAAGAAGTTTGGAAAAGGAACGTTAGTGAGACCTCCTTTTCTCTGATACAGTCTGTACTATGACTAAGAGAGACTGAGCGGGAATAAGAGAGAATAGGAACTCAGTGTGCCGGATGAGAGGACGCAGACACCCCGCCACATAAACATCGCAAGCAACAGCAGCTACCACCAACATTTGTGACAGTTTTACGGCGGGAATTCAAATTTTTATAGTCTCCCTAGTTAGCTGGATTAATATTGAAACCAACGCTTATATTCCGTTCTTTTTACTATTCTCACAAAGCAAAGAGGCTAAGGTATCGATTTTTGTGTGGATGGAAGCGGGGTGCTTCCCTGCACGATTCTTTCATCTAAGGTGCACGTGAAGGGCTCCAATCACTTTACTAGCAGCTACTAGAAATAACTAGCGTTTAAATCGCAATTTTTAAATTTTTTGCAGTCTCAATTCACATGATGGAAAGGAATACTATAGCGAAAGGAGCACTGACTATTTATCGATGCGCAGATAGGCTCCTATCACGTCGAGCACCGTCCAGTGTACGCTGGCGTCGTCGACTTCTGAAGTGCGAACAGCACGCAGTGTGCCGAACAACGTCTTCCAACCTTAACTGCACCATATAACGGATTTTGGGATCTGATACATACATGATTATCTACATTATCTTGATAACCTCTACAAAGATAGGCCTCGCCAAATTTTGGTTGGATGAAGCATCGAACAAGATGTAGAAAACACAGACGAACTAAGCGGAGTCTTCCTAGGGTGGTATAGATGAGCAGCGACATGGGCGCTGCTGGGGGTGGGTTGCTTCGGTGTCGGAACATCCCAGTAACCGCTAAAAAGGCAGGTGAGCAGCAAGTTGGTAGATGCGACGAAGGGGACCCACTCGCGGTGAGGTGAACGGCCGCTCTTCAAATGGGCTCTGCTCAAAACGTCGATTTATAACTTTCCAAGGAAGAGTGTATACGCTTGAGAAAGTATGATGAAGGATCACCTGATCCGATGCGATCTGACTTCGTCTTCACCAGATCGGCTAACGCAGCCACGATTTGCTCGCATGTTTCCGGAGAACAAGTGTCCGAGCAGATAATCGTCTAAAACTCAAAAAATCCTACATAAAGATGCGACTCGTGCAGAAATGACTTGTTTTGGGAAAAATCTTTTCACTACGGGAAATTTCATACTTTAGGAAATTGGAAATTAAGGAGGAAGACAAGCTTTCAAAGACTTTCTATGTTAATTAATACCTCCTTGGGATGCGCCTCCCACTTGCCACTTCATGCCAGAAATCGAGTTATCACTCGTTATTGTCGGCGCCCTTCTATTTTTTTTGCTTGTTATGTTGGCATACGTGAGCGCCAGCTAAATGTATAGTGATGAGGGGGCGAGGGACTGGCTTTAATTCCATTCACTTGAAGGCAGCGTCCCGGGATGTGCAGCACCACGGCCCACAACTCAAGCCACACAAGTCGGGATTAGCTCCCAAGAGCCACCCCTTTCCAGAATGAGAAAGAGGGTTCCCCAAGGGCAGAAGGCACGACATCGCCGCGACTCAAAAGTGCAGGACAACGGCGATCTCCTCGCAGCGCTGTGTCTCTCCGTCATACTACGGCCGGCCTCCTAAGGGAAATTTAGTGTTTTCTATGGTGCTTTTTGCTTTTTCTCCTCACTAATGTTCCTCATTGCACCCCTTGCCTAATTTTCAACAAAATAACCCATCAATTCAATCCCGACTCATGCCTTCCAATCTTGAACTTGACCCGAACCGTGCACATCGTAAATGGCACCGCTTGCCGTGCAATAGCCCCGTTCTTGAGATTACAGGGTCGCTGAAAAGTATGAGACGCACTTTGAGCGCTTGCTGGCATTGAGCCATGGAGCATTTCCGGAATGCTTCAACTTTTTGAAAGATAGGAAGCTATTTGAGAAGCAGCATCGGTTTGCCAACTGCTCATCTGATATTCATGAGAATTATTCTGTACACTATTCAATGGAATGTGATCCATTAACAGTCCTGCTGACCTTAGAATTCTTAACGTCTCATCTTAACCTCTCAAAATTGAGTGAAAAAATCCCATTGAGTTAAGAGGTCCTAGTTGATGCTTCAGCTTGTTTCAAAGTCTTGCAATAACCTGAAATGGAGCGATAAGCATCTGGTTGAAGCAGAGCCCCTGAGATTCAGTGAGGATCAGCGATGAGACAGCTTCTGAGAGTGCACTGATGCCCACACGTGACTCGTCCACTGACGAAGCTACCTAAATGTTTAGCCCTATATTTTTTCCACACATTTCATGCTGAAGCAAACAAAACGCCTACTTTGACGAAATGCCCGCAAACAATGGGCCAAATCAGCATCTGGTGTACTAACGAGCGGTTCCCAAGAGGCGACAGGATCTCAGAAATCTAAACAAGTAGGCATTCATGGACCAGCCAGATGAAAGTGTTGGAACAAACCCTTGAAAGGAGATTTGTGGCGGGTGTCAGAGAAGGTGCCTTCTTTTCCGAGTAGAAGATGCGATTCTCGCTGGCATTCGTTACAGCTACACATAGTTCACAGAGTGAACGAAGGTTCAGCTCATGACCAACTTTGGAGTAGAACCTTAAAA